AAAAAGCTTTCACATACTTGACTGGGCCCGTTTGACAGAAGCTCTGTCCTTTGATTTAGATGTGGTGCAGTGGCCTGCGACTGGACTTTGATGAGCGCTTCTTTGTCTAAATTTACAAATGGTTATCTAACTCCTGAAAGTAAGACTAGTAAACTAATATGCCCACAGATATGTTGTGTCTCTAAGCCTGTAGGCCATGTAACTCGATTTTCAAACAGTGTGTTATGCATTGTCGGGAAAACTGATAATCTTTCGGAAAACTGATAATGACTACTAAACCAAAGGTGTGCTAATGAATCCCAAGGCACAACGGGATAAGGGAATTTCGTTACCTATCAATGAGACTCTCCCTATTATCGTTAATATTCCCGACCGAATCTGATAAGACAACGAGCTCGTGACGCAGTGGGTTAGTGTTGGACTTATAATCAAAAGGTCGTGGGTTCAAGTCTGTGGTTGTGCACAATCTGGGGTTAGGTACGGCTGGTTGATGATGGCTAATAAGCCAGAAACGGTCCATTTTAGTTTCCCCTTTCTTTGTTTCGGCCATGTTCATCTGCCTATGTTACCAGCTGCTATGCAGCGGCTAGCCCTATCCACTAAAGGACGGTTGCCTGATGACGGCTAATAAGCCAGAAATGGCCATTCCAGTCTCCCTTGTCTTTGTTGTTAATGTCTCTCTGCTTATGTATACATATGAGTGGGTCGCCTTTTGGTGATAAACCCCCTAATCATCCCTTTACCGTTACGGTATTTTTGAAAAGTCATCACATTTTGCTGGTAAGTGCCTTACCGTCACATTTTCTTATTTAGTCAACCTGCAATTTCGTCTGTTAACCTTCTCACCCTCATGCTATTTTGGGATAATTAGAAAATTGATTTCCTAATTTTAATTGTAAACAATTTTGAATGTGGTAATTCTTTTAACTTTAGGGAGGCCGAAATTCCTATCACAGCTGGAGCGCCCGGGTCAGAGGGTGACTCAAGCGGAACAGAGGAACCCGGTGACCCCCAGGCGGACCCTGTTGAGGTGCCGACTTCGGAGGAGCCAAACACGGGCAGAACAATTCAGCGCACACTGGCGGGCCATCGCCTGTGGAGGTTCACTCCCTTTAACTTTGAAAAGTATCCTGGTATGCGGATGAACGTGCCACCGGACAAGACTGCCTGGACAGTGAGTATTTTTAGCCCTCCTTTGGCATTTTGGGAGAACATCTAAATGCCAGATTAGAACTTTTTACTAGTTTTTTTTCAATGAGCACGCATTTCATTGTGGTTGCTGATTCACAATGTCTACTGAGGGGAGGCCATGGTATGCGGTAGACCGTTAATTAAGCAGGCTACTTTGGTAGAGCTGCCTAAAACAGGCCTTTGTCGTTTTCTGAAGATCGCATCTTTGCCAAAACACTTATCAAGTGATTTTGGTCGAGTTTATGTCTCTCGATACCATACAGAAATCTATAAATCTTACAAGGGATGCCAGGGGTTCGTCAGATATCCCTCTTAGCGGC